CAGGGGATCACAGGTCCATCCTTGACAGGGGATCACAGGTCCATCCTTGAGGGGGATCATGGGTCCATCCTTGACAGGGGATCACGGGTCCATCCTTGACAGGGCATCACGGGTCCATCCTTGACAGGGCATCACAGGTCCATCCTTGAGGGGGATCACAGGTCCATCCTTGACAGGGCATCACAGGTCCATCCCTGACAGGGGATCACAGGTCCATCCTTGACAGGGGATCACGGGTCCATCCTTGAGGGGGAGACCAGGCACTCGCAGGACAGCCAAACACCAATCCTGCATTGCCTTAGTCTTGCATTATTCAGCCTCTGAAATTGTGAGAAATACATTTTTGCTATTTATAAATAACTCAACCTCACATTTTATCTTAGCAGCACAAACAGAATGAGTCAGAGGTGTAAAAGGAAAAACTGTTTTGGGTAGCATTTCCCGTGACAAGTTTGATTGCAAGAGACCTTTACCAGGAATCAACAATGCCACAAGGGCAAGGAAAACAGGAGGAGGAGAGAATCAAAGTTTGTGCTTAGTATAAACTTCCACTCCCCTCCGAGGTCTCCCTGGGGACACCACCCATGTTCCTCCCTCTCCAAGGCCATTCCTTTCACAAGAAATTCCTCCTTTCTCAACCCACTGCTGGGAGGCCCTCTCCTCACCTTTCTAGGTCCCCCAGTACCATCTATGGGATCCTCACAAACCCCAGAGTCAGCCCACACTAATGGACAGCAGTGCATTGCAGGGTCCCCATGTGGAGCCACAGCTGTGCACCCTGAAGATCTCCAGAGGCAGGGAGAGCACTGGCTGCTGCCTTCTGAACTGCGTGCAGAAGAAGCCAGGGAGGCTGCCTGGGAGAAGAGGGCTCTTCTGAGGTGATCTAGGCTGGAGGGCTGCTGCAGGGCCACACAGAGCCCTCCAGGGACTCCACGGCAGCTGAGACCCTCCCTCCAAGCTGCCCTCCTCCTCTTTACCCAGAGTCTGTCTCCTGGCTTCCTCCCAGTTTCCTCTCACCCAGGGAAGCAGCCCCTGGAAGATCATGTTCTGTCTTCCCACCAGTGTGCACTGCGGGTGTCTTGTGATCCTCTGAGTCATGCAACAGATGACCATGGCAGGGCAAACACACGCATGCCTCTCTCCCAGGTAAACATCATCTCTCAGAGACAGTACAGAACAACCCGCAATGAGGAAAGTAAATGTCATCCTCATTGTCTCCTTCATTTGCAAGGCAGGACCTCTTACATAATGGCACTAAAATGTCTCATTACTGTGCCAACCAGTAGGAATCCTACCATTGTCCCCAGCCCCTTTCTCTCCACCTTCAAAACTGGACTTCTCTGCATCTGCTGGGAAGGATAACGCAGCTGCTGCTAAGCAACGGGCAGGGTAGTCTTGATGCGTTCTTTCAGTTCCGCCACACTTGGTGATAATGAGGAAATGAAGACATTTGACCTGGAGGAATGCTGTCACTTCCATAAAAACCAGCACAACCATTTCTTGACCTGTTCTCCAACACACTCTTTACAGGGAAGCCATCTGCTGTTTTACTACCTCGATGGTCAGAGAGAAAGCCCAGGTCTTCACCTGCACAGCAGTTGGCAGCAGAGGGAGGAGGGAGGCTTTCTCCCCCACCTCCTGCTGTCCTGGTCCCTGGTGCTGTCAAACCACACTGGCATTGCCAGTAGTAACAACACTCATATGAATCACCACAGAGCCTCCCCTCTCTATGTGTGGGTGAATATCAAAGTCAAAAAATGGTTTTTTTCTTAAAGAAATTTTGAACATCTTGAAGTTACTGTCCTATCCATGAATAATATTCCAAGAGGAGCCACTTGGATAAGCCAAAGGCCTCCAGATCCATGTAAGTGAAAGCAGGTCCTTCCTGTTCACACAACAGGGGAGAGAACAGGCAGATTCTGAGGGTCAAGGCCCTGGAGCAGGTGCAGGGACAGAAGGCAGGGAAAGTGTGCAGGATTTTGCACAGTAGGACCGAATTCTGGGTAGGACAAGTGAAGGTGCATTTGGATGACCCGGGCAAGAGCAGCCAGCCCCAGAAAGCTACTGTGGCAGGTTCTTCCTGGTCAGCCAGAGGAGAAGGAGAAATGCACAGGGAATGAGCTCTGCTAGGACTCACTGCTAGGACTCTGCTGCTGGACTCAGCACGCGACTTCGGCGTTCACCTTAGAACCTCCGGAATACATGTGATTTGAACCAGTCTACAAGCAGAAAGATTAAAACAAAACTTGCTTCTGGTGACTTCAGTATGCTCTCAAGCTAGGGTGCAAATTCAGGCTTAGAGCTGGTGAGCAGGGATCTACCGTTGCTTCGTGAAGGCCATTATCTACAAGGTGGATAGAATCTGCCAGAAATAAAATTTGAGCCTCAGTCCTATCTTTGCTCTAGCTAGTTAAAAAGTGGATGAAACTACAGACTTTGTGGTATCATACATGGTCTGTACAAACCCTTGAGTTCATCATTTTAGGGGTAGGGGAAGAGATAGGAAAAAATCTTAAGAGAACAGTATAGTGGGGCGCCAAGCTTGGGCATGGTGGTACACATCTATAATCCCAGCATGCAGAGGCTGAGGCAGGAGGATTGCTATTGGTTCAAGGCCAACCTGGGCTACATAATGAGTTCAGACCAAGCCTCCACTGCATAGCCAAAAATTACATGGTATAGAATATTAATATAGCATGATAAAATAGTAAACAAATACTTGTTTTTGCTCTTCAACAAAGACAGGAGCAAAACCATAAGGTGAAAAGCCACAAGAAATAAGATCAAGATATTTTTAAAAAAATTTAGGACGCTGGAAAACAAATGAAGAGTGAAAACTACACGAACTGAACCCCCCGTCTGGGAGGAAGGAGCTGGAGAAGGCCAAGAGCGAGACCTCAAAAGAGAGCAGAGCAAGGCTGATGTGTGGAAAACATGTCAGGAAGACAGGGACGCCAGCTGGCGTCCTCATTGGGTCGGGTCCCCAGCATGGCACGAGGTTTGCCAGCGGGAGTACGGATTTGGGCTCTTCAAACATAGCTAAGATGAGGGGCTCAGCATGTGCTGGAGGGCGCAGGAGGCCCAGTGAAGGAACGATTCCCCTAAATGGCAGGCCACAGCCCACATCCTCTGCTCAGCTCCCTGGTGCCTTTGAACCGCCATGCAGGAGAAGGACCAAGTGCTCTTCAGTGAAACTCAGTGAGCTGAGAGGAAAGATCTCCCGGTTCTGACACTCGGCAGGATCAAACAGCCTCTCTCTCCCTCAGCGTTTCCAGTGAGCTTGCCAAGGGTCACCAAACATTTGCAAAAGAGACTCTAAGCAAAGAAAAAAATCTAGTCAAGCGTATATAAGTAAACAGAGATAAAGGAGGACCAAACAGAGATAAAGCAGGGAGCATAGTAAGCTTCTAAGATCCAGACTCCTACAAAGAGAAGATACGATGTTACAGGCATAAAACAAGAACAGAAAGTCAGAAAAAGAGGATCCAAGAATGAAAGTAAAAAACACATGGCAATTACATTATTAGAATGTAAAAAATAATTGTAAAACAAAGTTCAGAAACCTTCTCAGTACCCTTTTTTAAGGAGCAATATTAGGAGAAAAGGACAGAATCCGTGCAGCAGAATAAACATCTACATGATGATAAAAGATGGCAGGCACCAGATGGAGCCTGGGCAGCTTCCAGCTGCGCCCACCGAAGCCTACCACAGCCTCCATT